TAACTATCTCAATTCTACGAGCAGAAAAATCAATAACTGAAGTAATATTCTGTTCAAAAAGGTATGGTAATTGTTTATGTATTCGATCTGATGAGCATTATGAGGGAGAGTTAGGCACACTTGCAATATTCTGTACTAACGAATATCCGAAACATTTTTACACACTTAAAAGTAATCAAAAATTGTGACGAAGCTTAAATAGTTAATGCAAAGGCTTATCGTAACCTCACCTGAACATAAAGAAGGTTTAGTTGAACAGGATCCCGAGTATCTATATTCTGGTCGGAGTAGAAATACTTCCTTCGGAGAAGCAGAATTTCCGACTCATCAACTCCATGTTGACGAAGCGTTTTGCCAGGTGCTAACCAATTAACTAAAAACAGAAACATATTTTAGGTTTATGAAAATCGTTTCAAGTGAACATTTGTGTCAGTCAGTTATATGAAAAGTAGATCCTAGCCCATATGTTCATCCGTTTAAGCTGCCAAACCACTTTATCACAGACGGATGCCAGAGTGACGTAAGTAGCTAACAGTAGCAACTGTAGTAGAAGAGATTAGGCGCAGAAGACATGATTCGAGAAAATATAGAGTTGAGAAATAAATACATAAAGCATCCCCTTCATAAAATCTAAGTAATCTGAAGGCAAAACTGATATGCAGATGTTTTGTTCAACGGCTTATTACATGAAATAAGTAGCTGAAAACAGCACTAACTAACAACTTCTAGAACCATGCACAGATAATTCGAACACCTAGTAACGGATTCATACGATCTAGATAAAGTGAGAAACCCACTGTTTTAAAGTACCAAGTGAAGTTAACTAAGACAAAAAATTAAAAACGAATTCCAGCTATAGATATGAAAATACAAAGCAGCTAACTTAATCTACAATTACACAATTGATATCAGGTCAATTTTAACTTTTTATTGTTAGGAACCAGGTATTCCAGTTACTATTTTATCGCCCACAAAATGCAAACTACATTTACGCAAACAATTAAGTAGAATAAAGATTTCATTGTATAATTTACGGGTGAATCAAAATAATCATTGGGAATGCTTAAATTAGCAATGTGATTGATGACAGGAAGAAATAAATTTAAGATATAATGATGAAGTTGTTTAACACCATTATAGCTGAGACTGCAAGAAATACAACTTACACTCATCGTCTGTATGTAATTTTTGTTTCATCTTCTCTAATTTTTCCAAGTTTCTGATGCTGCCTCTACCTTTCCTCAGTGTTAGCGTGCGCATCTTTTCATCGTCATCGGATGGTCTTATTAATGAGTACTCTTCATAGTTAGTGATACCTAAAAGCGACATGCGAATGAAACAAAAAGAAAACGAGTTATATTCCTCATAAAAATGCTATCTATTTTGAGTAGTTAGAAACATTATTTCAGTTAAGTTCGGTTAGATGAATTGAAGGTTTAGAAAGACGTATGGCTACGTAACTTGGAACACTAATCTGACAAGGTTATAGTGAAACAAGCATTTATGAAGCTCACTAACAAATTACAGAATTTCGTGATAAACGACGAACCACATTTCTCTCATGGAGGAAATTCCAATTGAAACCCACTAACTGAAAGTCTAGACTCTAAACCTATGATGCACAATTTCTCCAGAGTAAATAAATAACCGGATTAAGTCAACACAAGTTTAAATATTAGCAAGAAAACAATGCAGAACATTTTAGCACAATCAGGAATAATAGGTCTGGATATATCAACGTCAAGTTATTCTTGATCAAGTCACGAAGCATCAAAACGTTTTTCTACTCATTGGGACATTAAAAAAAAATAATCATTAAACTCTACCCAATGTTCAATTTATTTGAAACTACAAAGTCCATCCTCGACATTCGTACCTATGGTCCACAGTTCAATTTAAACTAGTAAAAAATAAAGGCTAATCACATTTTCTACTTATAGCAAAAACTAATAATATAAAACCAAACAGGTAGATATTTTTGCAGCATAACATATTTTCAGCTGTTTTACAGGTTTTATTACAGAAAATATCTTACTTTAAGTAGCAAGGCAATTCAGTAGATTGGTATCGTTTTATTGTAAAATTATTTTAAAGGTAGTGGTTGTAAACGATGACTGTCTAGTAGGTGCAGGAGAAGAGCAATGTGATATGTATTATAAGTCTATTTCAGATGAATTCTGCACTTGTAACGTCCGACATTTTTACTAACTAGAACTTGAAACTGGCCTTCAATGCCATGGTTACTCTTACCATTTGAATGTAGATCCCGTAAGTCAATTTACATTGCCGATTTATCACAGACAAATGAGACTCCAGTACTAAGTGGTGAATAAGCTGAGGTTTATATTGGCCCTAAAATAGTTGAAAATAAGGATCTGAAGAGTAACCTTCCGGTTACCTCACTGGATTTCATAATCCTTAGTTATTAAGGACTTCAAGTCCTAACACTAATAAACATTACTTGACGGCATGTTATTTTTTATGTATTTACTAAACGCGTGTGTTTTCAATATCTACGAAAAGGCAATACCATTGTTCAAACCAAGCTTTCAAAGCAATACCCACAACTTGATGAACCGGTTAGAGACCGTAGTCTTCCGTAAACATATGTTACCTTACGTAACGTAAACTGTTATGAGACTGGTGATTTTAGTTAAGTGCCTAGTTGATGACAATAAATCAGTTTAGCTAATAATGAGATTGTGTTCCGTATTTGAAAAAGTTCAGAATACTTTTGGCATTTAAAAAATAAATGATAAAGTAAATAAGCTTGAGTGAGAAACTCGATGCACCAATACACTGGTAAAGGAAACGAAATGTCCTCTAAGAAAAAAGCTAATATCAGCTTCTCGAAAACTGTATAGAAAGCTATAAACCTTGCATACAGAGATTAGTGTTTGAAAATACTCGACAATTGAAACAAGAATACTTGAGATAACACGATTATTAAGTGAGATTACTCGGAACATCAGGTATGGTTCTTAAGACTGCTGGAATTTTCCTACTACTGTCGAGCATCTAGTGACTGAAAAACATGAGAAAGAGGCATATACGTTTTAAGACATCGATCTAAATATATAAAGGACTTAGATGTTACTTTCCGGTGACACGCCGTTACAGTTTACGACTGAAATTCGATGTAGTTTGCTATGAAAACGGTGACTAATTAAAAAAACGAAATTAAGGAAACCTAAAAAGACGCAATTTGGTTTGATCGGCAAATTACTACAAAAATAACCAATGGATTAAATTACAATACAACTGATATAATTGACGAAATAACTGCATATGAGGTTTAGCAAAGGACGGTATGTGAATTACTGTAGTTAACGTTTAATTGTGAGTTGATCTAAAGAGGCTTTGCACACATTAACAAAAGCTTCCATATCGAAACTTCTTAGTGAGTCCTTTATGAGACAAGACAAATAATATTTTGCTGACCAATCATGATGTCGATGTAAAAGTGGGTAACAAATTGATGCGACTGAAAATTAGCTACAATTGCCATGCTAAAACGTGCAATTTACATCCATTCCAGTGAGGGAATATACACATTTTAATGTTAAAAGGTAACCCGAAGTACGGTAACATACAGTAAAGTGTAACGCACCTATTTTAGCACAAATCGTAAACATAAGTTCAGAAACAGTTTTGCTATCGTCCACCTGTAGTGTTTTCCTTGTTTCATCCATCGTCTGTATAACAAGAAGACGAAGCTTGGAACGATATTGAACCTCAAACTGAAACGAATAAAAATAAGGAAGCGCATGTTACATTATCACAGAAATGGTAATATGAAAGCATTCTTGAATTATCCAACCAAAACGAGTGCTTGGGGTCTGGATCTGGCACAAAAATGCCATACTCTGATGCTAAATGGAAGTTACGGACAGTGGCATATAAACATACGATTTAGACAAGCTGCTTCTCTAATTTTTGATTGAACTTCATGACAGAGATCGTAAACGGTGATATCTTTAGTGAACTTCAGAGAATAACAATTTCCTGAATTTGGAAATCTGATGAGGAGGCTGACAGCTAACATAGTATGGTTTTCAATTGAAATAGTATAGTTAGGCTGAAATCCACAACATTCTACAGATGTTCGAATTGCCCCGCTTTACGACCTTCAGGATATAAGGTCTTCATCACATCAAAGTAGACGAACGATTACCACTAACATAATTTGCAAATTTTTCCAGACAAAAGCAGTGACTTCATCACTTTATACAACCTCTGTGAAAAATATATCTGTTGATTTTCAGACATTAAAAAGTATAAATTTTTGAATCATACATTCATGAAACGCGATATATAAAAAAATTAGGTTCACGAAAATGGTTTCAACAAATTTTCTCATCACTGGGCTCCTTAGTGAGTACTATGGAAATTTATAATTTAGATTAAAAGTTAAACAACAGACATTTGTGCAAATACTCAGTATGAGCAGTCGAACAAATCTCATACGAACTGAAAGCATGTATTGACGAACGTTCATGCCGTTACCACAGAAATGGGTTAGCAGTAATATTACTCTTAACCTTTACCAATTCTCGTCTTGATGATCACATGTACGGCACTCACTTTATCAAATTATGGACGTTCACGTAACTGAAAAGATCTTATTATGCATAATCTATTATAGTAGTATATAATCTGTCTTGATTTTAAAACAAAATTTTGGACGAATTGATTCGTAGATTCCGTATAAGTTGTTGCACACAGCTAAATTCTATAGACAGTAACTTCTTACTATGTATCTATGGGTACTAATGTACCGATGAATAAATATTTTCAGAACGTCCATTAGTTGGTTTCTTGATGATCCTGTGATACCGTTACGATGGATCGTGTATTATGATAAAGTCAGAAGGGGACCGATAAAAGCCAGTGAGGAATGCATTTTAGTAATGATCTGGCGGTAGCTCTCAAAAGGAAATTGTACTGTCTAAAGATGTTTGAGTGATTAGTCCGTTTAACTAGTGGACGATCATTTTTTCATGGTAATTTTGTGAAACGTCGAGAAAGATTATTATGAAACATAGATATCATTAAGCAGTTCCGCGTTGACCGAATTGAAAGCTTCAGAAGTGTCCTGAGTTGTGCAAGAAGTAACAAGAGAACATCGAAGGCATTCAATCAAACTGCAAGTTAAAAGAGTAACTTAGCAAAGGCTTATTAAGTGATATATGCCTTACTCTCTCGCAAAATGTATCCCAAAAGTAACGATGCAACTATTAAGAGGTGACAGGATTCCATACAACTAACTGACATCAGGTGACATTTAACACTAAATCATAAAAATTTACAAACTCATATTTTCAACCTTTACAGACATCAACTTTCAGACAGACTACACACAAAAGTTCATCAACTACATTCGATGCACGTAATGATAACAATAGTAACAACAGTAATTTATCCATTACTGTTTCTTTGCATTATACAAATAGTCAGCATGATGGTCGTGTATCACAATTTATTGCTGAAGTCGCTCATTTAGGTAGTCTGTCGCATAGATGTCATGGCTATAATAATCACTTTTCTAATTCGAAACTAACACAACCCATAATTCAATTTGTAAGTAATCAAAAACAACAAAACTTATCTATTTATTCATTTGAGTATTTGTATTGGATATTTTGAATGAAATGTAGAGGAAGTTTCAGAATGATACGGGTATATTTAAAATGTCCTCAAATCCATGCTAGCTTTTGTTGTTAGAGTGAAATGTGATCAGAGGCTCGCGGTGAGAGAATGCATTGATAAAGAAAAATGGTTTATCTTCATCTGCACTATCTAGTGTGTATGGGATAGACGTCCATATCGTCTAAATGCATGCAGGCTGCTCACTGTATACCGCGCTTCCCCTGTGATGTGGAGGTCTTCATAATTCAATCAGCCACTAGAAGAAAGAGAAAGTGGGAGAGTCGGTGGCCTTGTCTGATACCGGTCCACACTTGGAAAGTATCTGTCAGCTGTTGTCCGTACATGACTTTACAGTGTAGTCCGTCGTATGAACTCCGTACGATGTTGAAAATCTCAGGTACACCATATATTCAAAGAATGGTAGGTAAGATTTTCTTACAAACTCTGTCAAACTATCTCACAGTCAAAGATATTTATACATGGTAATGAAATTCATCCAGATGTCTGCTCAGAAATAGTCTCCAGTGTCGCGACTTGGCCGGTGCACAACCAAATCCTTCTGAATCCAGCCTGTTGATCTCGAAGTTGGGTGTCTAGTGAATCTTTTATTCGGTCAAACAGAACACTGTTAAAAGCTTACCCTAGTATTGACAGTAGTATGACCTCTTTGTGACTTTCATATTTGGTGAGATTAGTGGTTCAATAGATTTTTACTAAGGTTATGGAACATCACAGTTGGAGCGCGAGTTTGGCTTTCTCAAACGCAAAATTTTTAACATGTAGTGTAAAGTAATGAAAAAGGTAACGCCTGCGCAAAATATCAAAGTAAATAAATATTTGCAATTACTCAGAGGTTTTCATCCAACTCTTAGCCAATCAACCTTAGCTGTCAAATCTGTCCACTCCTTATTTCAATAGGAATGTCGGGTCCACCAATTTATCAAAGAAGGACATGTCACTGTGATATCTAAAGCGTAATAGAGAATTTCCCACAGACGTCACATATTTTACTTATAAATAATCTCGCCTCGACATCCCAGCATGGATTTCTTAGGTCCAGATCATGCGATACATGCCTAGTAGACTACCTGAATGATATTACTCAGAAACGAGACAACGGACTCCTTGTACCAGTCCTATTCTTAGACTTTAAGAAAGCCTTTGATAAGGTCCCACACTAAAGGCTTCTCGTCAAACTAAAGTCCTTCAGAATAAACAACCCACTATACTCACGGTTTGCTTCGTTCTTAACGGGACGCAAAGAGATACTAAGTTTCTATAAGTGTCAACACTTGGACCAATTAACAGTGGTGTCATCCAGGGAAACGTATTAGTTCCATTCTTGTTTCTCATGCTTATAAACGATATATGTAACATCATAAGTTTTGGGAAACCATACTTATATGCTGATGATCTCAAAATAGTATACAGCTATGAGCCTGAGACTCCAAGTGAAAGTGTATCCATGATCCAAAAGGACATCAATAACTTAACTATCTGGGGTGAAGAATTGCAATTACCATTCAACCTCAAGAAGTGTGAGATCATGCAGTTTGGAAAGCATCTTCATGAACTGCAACTTTACTTGAATAAAGGTAGAGTCCATTCACTCAATTCACTACACGATCTAAGAATTAGTTACACAAGAAGCCTGAACTTTGAAGAACATGCCTCCTCTATTATTTCTAAATGTAGACGGCTGATTGGTTTCATGATGAGAAATTTCTTCACGACAGAGGCTAAGCTTATTCTCTACAAAATATGTGTAAGACCTTCTCTTGAATACTTCTTTCCTATCTTCCCTAATATGAAAACCACAGACATGATAAGAGTGGAAGACGTTCAAAGATGCTTCACATACCAACTGCTAGGAAGTAACTTCAATCTCGATTACACAGATAGATGTAAGGACCCCTCATTATGGCACCGTAGGCTAGGGAACGATTCAATATTTCTCTAAAAAACGGTATATGGACTCTCATTTCTAACCTCCTGCCCAACTTTGATCCATGATCAAGCATATAGACTGAGAAACAACGCAATTACACTACTGACCGTTAACACCAAAAACAAATGCGTTGTAAGTTTTTTACAGTGCGGTATGGTTTATTGTGGAACAGATTGCCAATATCTGTCCGTAACTGTGACACTTATACCAAATTCAAAAGGCTAATAAACATGTTACTAGACTCTAAACAGATTCAACTGCTACTTGAACTCCCGCCCACTAATGAAACGCTTTATTATGGACTAGCTGATATCTAGACGGAACAAGAATATAACGAGCCCCATTGTTATTAATATGAATATAACTAAATTACAGAACATATGGTTTATCCTCTCCTATTATTCATTATTTATTAATCATGGCCTTAAGCTCCCAACCCTCACTTTCGGTTCCAAAACCTCTCCAATAGTTAGAGATAAATTATTCTTCATAAGTGTCAAGTCCTTTTTTCCTAATGCGATTAGACAGACAACTCACTAATCTTATGACTTGGTCAGTGTTTTGTTTTTCTTACACAGAAAATTTCGCAATTTTATACTAATTTATATCCTTTGACTTGATATTGGTCCTTAGTATCTTTAAGCCACATAAATCTAACCTACGTTTTTTACTTTTACCATTAGTTATCTTCATAGCAGTGTGATATACTAAATGGATGTCTAAATCACAAAACAAATGCTTTAACCATCTGATTTGCTTGTAACATCGAACTAGTAGAGACACTGTATTCCAACTATGGGCTTTGATCAAAGCAATATTCATACTTACCACAAACATAAGAGAGCCTAACATCACAAAAGGAGTGAGGGTGGCGTTACTGACCAGCAAACATGATGGTGAGGAGATAACTTCAATTCACCCATGTCTGTAGGGCAGAAAATTTTGTTTAATTACAGCTCCTTTTGGTCTAGTGGGATGTCCCGAACTTATGGTATTGATGCTGTTTATTATGCGGAATATCTCATGAAATCGTGTATAGAACGCTGAATTGGTTTCACTTCATACTGAGTTATCCTATTGCTCGGAAACTAGACAATCCACTTAAAACGAAGCCTACTAAAGGCCCTATGAAGTCTGAAAAAAGGTCTCATACAGCTTCGATAAAAAGGGGAGGTAGCCATTTGTGTATCTGAATACTGTTTTTAGCACTATATTTCATAACTACACATAATCCCATACCTCCAACTTCTTTCTGAACCACTTCCATTTGTCAGTTGTTTATCCACTGATAACTTGTTTACACTAACTTTTTTCAACTTATCAGAATGCTCTTGCTTAATAAATACCTTAATAAAAGAGAATTAGACTTAGTAGTCATACCTTAACTATCTCTTCATGAACATTGTCTGCTCTGCTTTTCCTCATTTCTTTTTCTTGCACCATTTTTCAGCCTTCTTGAGATATGCTAATGAAAAAATGTGGAACTGGTGATTTCATCATGCACCATCATTAAAACCTAAGATATTCTAAAGCGATATAAATTCGTGATTTTCAGAAGCACCCAACTTCACATGGATCTATTCTCGACCATCAGTTGTACGTCGCGACGTAACCTCCATAAATCGCGCAAACTGTGATACTGACTAAAACCATCTAAATTGATATCTTGTAAAATATCAACCCAGCTGAGTAATTTGCTACAGCGAAAATTGTATCATTTGTAACAATCTGATCTTGCCTGCAAACCGTCATGCCTAATGTAACAAACTATTAGTTGAGAATAAATTATTACAACTGACACGCATCAACCAGTTGCACCGCATAAAAAGGTGCATGCAGCGGTGGTCACACGTTCTCGTATATATTCTTTCTAAATTTTTCTGCAATAATGTTATTTGTACTATGCCATCATCAATGCATTCATAGTACCTGGATATGACGAAAATGTAAGTCACGACATGTATCAACCGAGAAACGTGAGATAGACCTAATCTGGGAGGTCATTTCATTCTTACCCAAATCCAGTAGCCTTTCAACCATCTGTCTAGTTAACTCAAATGGGTGGTGTACAGACCCTTTGCTTATAATGTGGTGTCGATTAGTGGGGTTGACGATAAAACTGGGTAATTACACTTAAAGATGTAAACAAGTTCAAAAAGAAGAATCAGCGACTGTGCAATAAATTACGACCCAAACAGCTTGAATAAAACTTTGTTCTTTCAAATGTTACGCCTAACATTTAAAGGCAGTCCAAAATTGAACATTCAGACTTTTTGTTGCAGAGATCCGAATGAACTTACCTCAAGGCAATTATTACATATTCGTAGTGTGCGATATTGGCTATACGGTTAGATAGAAACGACCTTAGATTTAAAATTATTGGTTGATCGGTCGGATTAGTAGTTGTAGCTATTTAGAAGCTGTCTGAGCTCAGAATATGTGCGCATATAATCGAGGGATCTTTCGTGCCTTAAGGTAACCCTCGTGCTATTGATAGAAGAAACCAGAGAAGTAGTGAATAGGTCTTTATTTCGATCTTCGCGCAGTCATAGTGGAGCGTGGGATTATCTGTTCAGACAAACAATGGCTCTCAACTTTCGATATAAGATAATAGGGAATATAACGCTTATAAAAAATAAGGAAGTGAATGAATACTTGAACAATACTGTTTTAGCATATGCTTGGTTGTTTGGGGTCAACTCTTAACCAACCAACCTGAGCTGTTACAGATCTACTCCGACGGCAATTCCAGCTAACTGATTAAGTTGACTACCACACATTCAGCGAGCCTTTAAAACAAGCCTTGGCACCTAAGTATGCCTGGAACAAAAGCAACGGATCCAAACGTAAAATCTGAAACCAGTACCACAACGAAAGATTCTAGTACAGCGGAACAAAAACTATGTGAAATATTATCAATGCTAGAAGATAAAACGTCAGCTGTATCACGATGCAACCACTTGAAAAAAATTGTTCAAGAGAATACTTTTTTGTAGGGGATATAGAATTTCAACAGTACTTGGTGAATTTTACCATCAAGTGATATGTC